TCAATTGCAAAATGCTTGAATATTCCAACTGTTTTAATTTCTAATGTCCTCAAATTTATTAATGAACATAAATAGGGCTTTTCTAATTCTGTATTATTTTCTGTATTTGAATATCAATCTGAAATACTTTGCTGAGTTTCAACACTTGACCTAAACTGTACTTTTTAACTTTTAAAACTTGATAGTCAACCAATATAAAACTAACCTAATAATTATCTTTTAATCTGGGGACATTGTGATAGTGTTTTCCAGTGAATTCTTAGAAGCAAGACTGGAAAGTGAAATGTGATCTTGTTCTGTTTTGGCTCAAGGCAACCCTCCCTTAAGAAAAAACGCTTGTTTTCCCCTCATGTGGTTCAAAGATGACCTTTTTTAACCACATTTTTACGTGTCAAGATATGTTTAAATGTGGTTGTGGTCACCTGTTTTGACACTCATTAAAGTGTGGACCCCGCTGGTATTTATTCCACAGTTCCAAGAAATATCTCCCCATAGTTTCTCTTCATAATGAGAAAGTGTGGTTAAAGTGTTCCTGAAACTATGGAGGAGGAGGACATTAACTTTAATATGATTTAATGTTACCATATTGTTAATAGGGGTTAAAAAGGTTAATGCTTGTTAAATATATTTTTGGATTTACTGGACATGATAAGTCTGATACTTGTTATTCTGGTAACTGTTTCATGCATCTTTTTCATCATCAAATATTAAACATATGTGACACAAATGAGAATGTTTTATGATTGAAGCATGAATTATTCTCAATGATTATTGATTTATTGGTGTATATTTTAATCTTTGATTATCCCCAGGCCCGTAGCCAGGAGGGGTTCGCAGGGTTCGGGGAACCCCCCCCCCCCCCCCCCGGCCAAAAATTCTTTCAAAATCATGCAGTTTTTCACCATTTTGAGCACTTCTCAAGTGATTTTAGTCATATTTGGCCCAAAATTGTCAAATGTGAACCCCCCCCCTGTTTTTTTGGAAAACTGAACCCCCCTTGGCAATTCCTGGCTATGGGCCTGTCCCAGAGTTTAATCTCTACATGATATTTCAGTGAAACTCCTCTATTTGTGGAAACTGGTGATCTATGAAAGTGAACTGTTGACAAACTGATACCAATCAAACAAATTTCAATATGCTCCCATACCAATTAATTTGTACAATATTATTGCCAGTTAGATGTAAATGTCACCACAAAGCCATACCAAATGTCAAATAAGGACCCAATACCAAATTAAATGTCCAAATATCTGGGAAACAATCAAAATCAACCTTAATTTTTATTCACTATCAAAAAGGATGATGTTTGAATATGACTATTCACTGTTCATTGAAGCCTGCTTGGCACCTTTCACCTGACTGTGACCAGTGACAATTCTGCAATAAACATTTTTAAATATATAAAAAGTATAAGCACTGGAGATTAATAACAGTATATAAAATGAGTATTTGCTATTCATACCAAGGTTAAGATTGAGTCTATTGCCAAAGTAGGGTGGGTTGTTCTATTATGAGAAATCTAACAATCTTAAGCAGTGTAAAAACTAAATTGAATTATTAAAATTCCATTATATATAAAAAACCACTGACCATAAGATTCAAAGGTGTGGGTCGGGTGTGGTATGAGTGTGGTTTGGAGATGGTATAAGAGCAGTACAGGTATGGGTGATATATAATATGAATAAAAAGTGTGGTCTAAAAATGTGGGAAAAGTGTGGGCTTTAAGTCAACAAACCCAAAAATGTTTACATAAGTTATAACAACAATGTTCAGTTCCACAGCTAGGACAAAATGAGTTTAAGCTCAGATATAGATTTAATGAAAATTAGCATCTAAGATCCATCATTATACTTATAATTATTAATCGAATGATTAATTATTATCAAATAATTATTATTCATACTGAAAAGGGGACACGTAGAAGTGACGAGCCTTAACTGAACATACAGAGGCAATCAGAACATGCCACCTAGATAGATATCACATTTTAGTTTATTTTTAAGTACAAAATGTACAGAAAAGTTTCATTTAAAGCTCTGTAGATTGAATTATCAGTGAAACTTCCTTACAAATCTGAAATATGGTCCCCAAGCACAATAATGTACATTACAATTTACAAATGTTTACCATAAAGCAAAGATATGTAAGACCATGGGCATTCAACTCTAGTTGAATGCCCATGGTAAGACCTTCACTGAAAATGATAATAATACAAGAAAAATACACTTTGACCAGTTCATGAAAAAAGATCACATGATTACGAATATAAATATCTCCCACAAAATGCATCAACTTAGGTTGTTGCTATAGAACAACATACCATCAACCTTTGGTATCAACTTAAGAATTACTTAATACTGATGTATTTCTCAGAATCACACAGTTTTTTACTAAAACTGCTTTTCATAATATGTCCACATAACTGTAGCTTTAAGGGTGATTAAGTACAAAATATGTCATGGAAAATAAATTGAAATAAAGTTTAATAAAAATCACATTGCTAGGTTTCCTCATTCGCCAGAATTTTTGAAAATATATTTAGGACTCAACTTGTCCACAAAGCACATTCAGGAATGTGTAATAACAAATTTACTGACTTATTGAACTATTGTTTTTATAAACTTATCAGCAACATCCTTTTCTTGTTGAATTATTAGATTTAGACTCTTGATTACAATTATAATCTTATTATTAAAATTAACATTGATATAATTCAAATAAATTCTCTAACTACAGGTATAACTTTTATTCTTGTGACTCTACAAGTCTTTGATGTCAAAGAAATAATAAAACCATGTCTGGACTATATTTTAACATATTGATTACATGTATTTGTATCCTTTTAATACAGCAGACACATCCTGTTATTTTTTAATTAGTCTTATAATAAGATTAGTCAGTTCAGTCAAAATAAGCTACATAATTCATAAAAGTCAAGCATCATTCATTTGACCCTAACCCTTATGTCATTTTACTAAATTATTTTGTAAAGATTAAAGTGTTTAACCTCAGTCAGAGAATAAAATGTATATGTGATCAAATTAACCCATCTCCCTATGCTTCGATCATACAACATTCTCATAGTTGCCACATGCGTAATGGAATATTTGATAGAAGATTCATAAAACAATTTAAATGCCAGAATAACAGGTATATCACTGGCTTATCATGTACAGTATATCCTGAAATATTTTATGGCAACCATTAACCCTTTTAACCCTAATTAACAATATGGTAATCTTAAATCATATTAAAGTGAATGGCCTGCTTCTCCATAGTTTCAGGAACACCTTAACCACACTTTCTCATTATGAGGAGAAACTATGGGAGATATTTCTTGGAACTGTGGAAGAAATACCAGCAGGGTCCACATTTTTATGAGTGTCAAAACAGGTGACCACAACCACATTTAAACACATCTTGACAGGTAAAAATGTGGTTAAAAAAGGTCATCTTTTAACCACATGAGGGGAAAACAAGCGTTTTTTCCTAAGGGTTAAGACTGCATCTGGCAAATAAATCGGAAGCATATCAACAGAGTGACACTATGTTGACACATAAGCTTGAGGTTTTTTGGGGTTACATTTAGAGATTGTGTACATTAACTGACTAATTACCCCCTTTTGAAAGACACTCCACCCTTATACCACTATATAGTACCCCCCACAGACTACCACCCCCCCCCAATTATTACCCCCCCCACAGAATTCCTTCGCAAATACCCCCCCCCAAGAATATTCCATGGTCAATACCCCCCCCAGAATTTTTTCGGTCTCCTACCCCCCCCCCCCAGAATTTTTCGGTCAACACGCCCCCCCCCCAGAATTTTTCGGTCAACACGCCCCCCCCCAGAATTTTTCGGTCAACACGCCCCCCCCCAGAATTTTTCGGTCTCCTACCCCCCTCCCCCAGAAATTTTCGGTCAACACCCCCCCCCCCCAGAATTTTGCATCCATACCCCCCCGTACATTTTTTAAATGGAATGGCCCAATGCATAGGCAACAATTATACAGTAAAACATATATAGCTGAACATCTTCCAATCTGCACACTTTCTTTCCCTCCCATAATTAATAGATAATCATTTTCAAGATTAGTGAAAAAGGGCAAAAACTTACCATTTAACTGTTTTCTGCTCATCATATAGATACATTCAAATTATATATTATCTGATTAAAGTTCAGCCCATCATGAGAGATTACAGTCTCATATCAGTTCCTTACCAGTAATTTGATCTGGTCTGAGGCCATAAAACATATGATTCATTTTGAATGTATAATGTGGATTATCAAGACATGGCCAAGCTATATTGGAGCTTGGGGCATTAAATCTGACAAAATTACCTATATAACCAATATAAAGTGTATAACATACCCAATGTTACACAGTTTTATCTTCCAAACTAGTTTTTAATTTTAGGGTAGGTTAATGGGTTCAGATTATCTTATTTATTTGAGTTCAACATTAGGTATAACGTTATACCTAACGCTGAGACAGAGATGCTAAGTTCAACACTAGGTATAACGTTATACCTCACGCTGGATCAGAGATGTTAAGTTCAACATTAGGTATAACGTTATACCTCATGCTGAGTCAGAGATGCTAAGTTCAACACTAGGTATAACGTTATACCTCACGTTAAATTAAAAATAAAATCTCAGCCATCTCACTCATGTTTGAAATTCATCTATATTTTACTTTTCCCATTCCAAAAAATAATTCCCATTCTAAAAAATAGAGTGTTTATATATAGTATAGTATTATACTAAATCTGTATGTAAATTTTGAATGTACATGTCATGCAATAAGTTGTTTGATTTCAATTAATAATCCAAATTGCATGAAGATGCCCAGTGGGCAGTATTAGAAAAATAAAGTGTTGAATATTTCAGGTACTGCGTGTAACTTCAAATTTGTTTGCTAATGTAGTGCTGAAAGCCAACAACTTGAATGTACATTTTTGTGTATAAATATATGACATTTCTCTGTCCTTTGTATTAGGTCATATGAGCAAGCAGCCATGATATGTAGAGACATGAAAGACCATGACCAGGCTGCCCACTGGGCTGTGCAGGCCAGCAATTTCTTCCTGGAATATGGAACACCTGATACAGCATGTTCAGCTTTGGAGAGAGCTGGAAAGTAAGACACTTGCCTTTTGAATAATTGGTTCCTATTTTTGACCATTACGTGACCTACTTGGTGGCTCATTAGAATACAATTTTCGGAATAATGTTCATTAGATTTCTTGAATATTGCCTTTGAGAAAATTATTTTAGATCAGAACAGACCAGAAGGATTAATAAAAACTGATAAATTGGTATTTTTATGAGATTTTTTGTATTCTTTAATTTATTTCAAGAATAAATGTTGATTGATGAGGAAATAAGCATAGAGGCCCTTTAAGATGCAATGAACCTATGTACCACAAAACCTTTTTGATATAATAGAGTTTCATTATTTGTAGAATGATAGAACCAGTCCAACCAGAGAAAGCAATAGAACTATACAGGAGAGCCCAGGATGTAGCTGAGGTATGAACACCCTCATATACACATATGCAAAATAATTCATTTACACCAATGCACATATGCCACTAGCCAGGGGGGATTTGAGAATTCAAAAAATCTTTCAAAATCATGCAGATTTTGAGTATTTCTCAAGTGATTTTTAAACTAAACTCCCCTTGGCCAAAGCTGGCTACAGGCCTACCTTGTATTAATTGATTATTCAGCTTATATATACCTGTATACTCCTCATAAAATGTAGGCTTTGAATAACTTGGATAGACTGTCACTTTGAATTACCAACACGTATATATCTCCATCCCATTTTATCATCCAAAAGTTCAAATGAGTTTCGATTTGATTGATTGTATTTCCTTGTGTAAAATTAATAAATGCTTTTTACAGATTGTGGGCTATAAAAGGTTTGATATTTGTAAATTTTATAACATATGAAGTCATGTCATTAATGAAAGGATATAAAATATTCTATATATATTTTCATCAGATGGAAGACAGGCCAAGGCAAGCAGCTGAAATGGCAGGGAAAGTAGCAAGAATATACATTCGATTAAAGAAGTGAGTTTTATATTTCTTTTGTTCTCAAATGAAATATCTCAAAAATCAATTTTGTGACATTGTAATGCAAGACCAAGATGAAATGTTTAAGGCTTGATAATTTCTCAACTATGCATGCACAGCCAATCTGCAACTGTAATGTAGGGTACCGTTTTGGAAATGGTACTGTACAGTACCATTTAAGATGGTACTGTACGGTATCGTAGACTAAAACGTTACCATATGGTACCGTGAACACTGTACAGCACTATACTCCAACGGTACTGTATGGTATCATACTCTTAATGTACCGTACGGTACCATGATTTTAGAGTGTGGACTGGGGGTGGCATGTTCAAATTGTTATTTTATTCTGGAAATAATCATTTCCCTAACCACATCATCATTTGCCTGAAAAAAGAAAATGGACTAGATTGAATTTTCCAAATCATAAAATGGCTCTCGACATTATTCTAGTAGCCTGGTAGGCATCCGAATTTCACATAAACTACAAGTTCAGACATTTTGTTCAATAGTAATCCTGGTAGTCTAATGGATAGCATTACATTGCTTGAACTAAATTCCACCTATTCTTATTTGCCTGACTAATTTACATCCCTGACCATGGTCTTGCTCTAGTACTGAAATTACCACATTGTCTCCCATCCTGTCCAGTATTTGATATTATATACTATTGCAGGCATATTCTGCGTTAGAGAAAGAGATGACACTTTGGTCAGGAATGGAGAATTTCTTTATGGTCAACAAACTAGTGGTAGCGGCTGTTCTTTTACAATTACACCTTGGGGACTATATTGCACACTATATTTAATATAATGTACTATTGCAGACATGAGCAGGCATATACTGCATTAGAGAAAGAGATGGCACTTTGGTCAGGAGTGGAGAATTTCCCTATGGTCAACAAACTAGTGGTAGCGGCTGTTCTTTTACAATTGCACCTTGGGGACTATATTGCACACTATATTTAATATAATGTACTATTGCAATTGCAGACATGAGCAGTCGTATACTGCATTAGAGAAAGAGATGGCACTTTGGTCAGGAGTGGAGAATTTCCCTATGGTCAACAAACTAGTGGTAGTGGCTGTTCTTTTACAATTGCACCTTGGGGACTATATTGCACACTATATTTAATATAATGTACTATTGCAATTGCAGACATGAGCAGGCGTATACTGCATTAGAGAAAGAGATGGCACTTTGGTCAGGAGTGGAGAATTTCCCTATGGTCAACAAACTAGTGGTAGCGGCTGTTCTTTTACAATTACACCTTGGGGACTATATTGCACACTATATTTAATATAATGTACTATTGCAATTGCAGACATGAGCAGGCGTATACTGCATTAGAGAAAGAGATGACACTTTGGTCAGGAGTGGAGAATTTCCCTATGGTCAACAAACTTGTGGTAGCAGCTGTTCTTTTGCAATTACACCTTGGGGACTATATTGCACACTATATTTAATATAATGTACTATTGCAATTGCAGACATGAGCAGGCATATACTGCATTAGAGAAAGAGATGACACTTTGGTCAGGAGTGGAGAATTTCCCTATGGTCAACAAACTAGTGGTAGCGGCTGTTCTTTTACAATTACACCTTGGGGACTATATTGCAGCAGATAAAATGTACAAATCTTCCATGAGGTAACATATATGGACACATCTATTGTATTTTATCATAATTCAGAATTGTGCTTTTGTATACATGCCACACCTACTGTGTGAGCATTCAGTTTCTAGGTGCACATATTATGACATCACTTCATGAATTCAAAATCTGCATTTTTTCTGAATATCTTATTTACTTAGTATGGGTCTTCAAGATCACATTAATTTACATAGGAACAGTGAGTAAATATTTGCAATGCACCACATTGTATGTATTATAGCCTTAAAGGACAACTGAAATAGCTTTTCTCAACTTGCAGCTACAAAAATGAGGTTTTCTCTATTGTAAGCCAACCGTAGAGTTCTTGCGATAGCCATTATAAAATAATTGTTAGATAACTGCTAACTGCCATAGATAACGAAATAAAACTAACTGATAAATCAAATTGGCCCCCACGTGATAGTTACGTCATATACAAATTATAGCTTTGGTTTATTGGTTCCATAGTAATCACAACGTCACGGCAACCATAGGATTGTTGTGTAAACAAATAACAAAACATTTTGGCATTATGACGTCATGATCTAATGGACCAAAACGGGCCACGTGGGGGCCAGTGAGAGATCACGTGGGGGCCAATAACGTCACAACCAATTCGAATATTGCTTATTAAGCAGCTATAACGATCGTTAGAGTGAAATAGTTTTCACACTACTGGTTAGAAAACATGTCCAAATACATCTATCAAAAAATTATATTGATTCCTTTAGGTTAAAAATACCATTTCATATCTGCTTTAATGTGATGTGATTGTATTTCAGTGTACCTGGGTTTGGATCCTCTGAAGAGGCAATGTGTTTAGAGGAACTTCTTACAGCTTATGATGAAGGAGACCAGGAGAAAGCTACAGAAGTTCTACGGAGACCCATCATCAGATATATGGAGAATGATGTATGATGTATTTTATATATTCAACTTAAACAATAGGTTTATTTTGTTGGTCAAATTATGTATATAGTTCTATAAAAACTGACTTTCACTATTTGGTGTTTACTTATTAAAGGCAAAATTACTATTTCAATTAAAGAAAATTAGCAATAAATGTGTATTTGCACATGTATATGTAATATTCTATAAGATTATCTTTTTGTAATTCTCACTTTGATAAATTCCTCATTTTCTTTCAGTTCACAAAATTAGCAAGAGATTTGACAGTCCCTGGTGGACGTGTTGGCACCAACCCTAACCCCACAGATGGTGCTGGTGAGACAGTGGGGGATGATGAAGATGATGAGTACAGTGGAGGACTCTGTTAACATAACATTCCAGGTTAAGTGGTTGCCATGGATATAGTGAGGATATTAACAATATTTTCTTCTCTCATTGACACATATGCATCAAAATAATATCAGACCACAAATGCAAATCTATGAACTGGTCTGGTTTGTAAACTAGGATTAGGATAGCTCAAATATCATCATGTGACCAGTCACATGACCCCATGTTAAAGCAGAGAGACAGTGATATGATTGATGATGTTGAAGTCTGTTGTATTTACTAGTATATGTTTTATTAGTTTACGCCTAGTTTGCAAATACTAGAAACACCAAAAAAGTACCCTACTAGTAATTGTTTGAGGTGGTCTTACTCGGATGAGCCTTAAATAGGATGAAACTCACATTGTGATAGTCTACAGTGCCAAATACTTGAGTCGGTCACAATACCATCTTGATATGTTGTAAGCCTCCCCAACTCTGTCTAGTCTTCCTCCAAGCCCTTGTTTCTGTTGACTCTCCCATTCTACACAATGAAGTTGAAGTATGGGATTGATTCAAGACTTCTCTATGTCATCTAGGTTTTGGAAAGGCAGGCCGTCTAACTGTCCTGCAATTTGCGTATTTGTCACGCATATGCTGGAAAATTTGAAGTCACGCCAGTTTCTTTTCACGCAAATGCGCATTTTACCTGATTATTGTCAAGCAAAAATATTCCTGAAGAAAAACTTGTCGAAAAGGTGATCGCCCTACAGATTTGGGCCAAGGTGTCCAAAATTTGAAGAAAGGTGTTCAACATTTGTAAGTCACTCATATTAGGTGTTCCCAAGTTGACAGGCCTGGAAAGGGGATAACAGTAGCTCGATAAAATCACATCTGTGTGTAAAAAAACAATTTGCATTATGCAGATTTAAATCATTTGATGTTGTGTATTTATATAGTGTTGAGGCAAGACTACATCGATAAGAGCAGCAGTGAAAGCTGCTGTGAAGTTATAGTCTATTTACTATGCAGTATGAGAATTTATTTTATTATTTCCATGCCGTAATACTCGTTCTCTCATTGGTCAATTAGATACCATGTTACTAAAAATATATAGAGGTATTCCATGTCTCCCTGCTTAGAAAACGTGTGAAGAGTGTATTCACCGGCAGTGACGTCATTTTTAGTGAATACCACTATTTATTGAAATTAAAATTACGTCACATCACTTAATTCCCGGGAATTTAGTAAAAAGTATTTATGATAGACGGCGAAGTTATATCAGGAAGTCCTCGCAAGAAAAGGTTCACAACTGTATAACAAACACGGGATAAACATTTTACAAATGTATTCAAAAAGTCAACATATCAAAGCACGAATTCGAAGACTATGGACTTCAACATGGAAGTTCCGAATCTAATTTTTATCCATGGTGTGACTGAGATCGTGAATTATAACAGAATATTGGCAAACGTTTGGAAATACTTTGAAACTAGACGTCATATCATAACAATTATGTGTACTTCTAACTTTAATATTGTGTACAAAGTACTTTAATGGGGAAATAATAAAACAAATATTGAATTCTGTGATCGTTTAATATCTGTATATATTTCTGAGGGATGTATTCACCTCGCCCTTCGGGCTGCGTGAATACACCTTCAAAAATATATACAGATATTCAACTCCACAGAATTCAATATTTGTATAGTATCATCAGAAATTGTATGAGTTGATTGGCTGGTTCAGTACCATGTGCTCAAAAATACCATAGCATATTTCCCAAATGCCTCAATTTTTTGATTATTATGTAAAACTAGGAACTCTGAACAAAAATAAAAGTGTACTTTAAAATGATACTTGTACTTAATTGCATTAACAGGTTTATGATATATTTATTGATTAAAAGAAATGTTCACAGGTTAAAAAGTATTCTATATTTCTTTAAAATTCAAAGTGATTGTAGAGAAAGTCTTGCAATGATATAATAAAACAAATATTTCATTCTATGTTCGGGCAATACCTGTTGCACTTTCAATGATTTTTGCATCATGTATTTCCATCGCTCTACGGGCTGCGGGAAATACATAGTGCAAAAATCATTGAACGTGCAACAGGTATTGTCCGAACATAGAATGATATACTGAATATCTGATATATTCATTTCAGATTAGCCTTGCCCAAGTCGGTCTCTTTTACTTATCTTGATTTCTATTATGAACGGTGGTAATAATTCAAGATCAGATAAGTAAAAAAATACTGACTTTGGCTAATATCAGATATGAAGAGCAGATCTTTGTTTATCCTAAACAAAATAACCATTAATGTATTAGTATAATACGTTCCATGGATTTGAGTTTTACAATTTGGCTTCTATTTTTAATGTTCATTACATATACTCTAAGCAACACTGTAGTTTTCAGTTTCAGTCTGAAAATAGCTGTAAATCATCGTGCCATGCCCATGGTATTACTCTGTGTGTTGTTTGTTATCATAAACTATAAATGTGCAATATCAAACTTTGAAATTGTAAATACAATACTTATTGTATGTACTGAGAAATATATGGGATTAGATGCATGATGTAATGTATAGGTGTAAAAATGTTGTAAAAAGTGTCAGATTGTAAATATAGAATTTAAATTGTATATAATGTAACATAAATTAGTTTTGTTTAATCATTAAGCAAACAAGGCGCAAAACACATAGAAAAATCAGTTTGGAAATTTAAGGGCATTTGCACTTCCTGAAAAAAGTCCTTTCTGTCCAAATATGGTAATAATGATATCCACCAGTCCAAGAACACTTCCAACTAGAACTAATCAAATGCCCCAGTGGTCATCACAACATGAAAACTATCGTACCAATTTAGACATAGAGGACCTGAGGAAAATTGATAATTTTATTTCATATTGTTTTCCAATTTAAAAAAGCTATTCATGCTTACTAATACGTATCAAGGATTGTTTATAATTATATTTTTGGCATTAAACAAGGGAAGGGGGTTATCCCTATGTATGGTATAATTCCCGGTAATTTTCACGATTTCGTTTAGTGTATTTTCCCGCTAAAATTTATATTTGGTGTGTCATACATTGACCAATCAGAAGCCCGGAGCCATTTTGAGGTAATATTTTGTCTCGTAGAAATTTATTAGTAAATCAGTCAATATCTCTTGCATCCGTGAATTTGTAACTTAGAAACCCCAGTAAGCATTAAGTTAACATCATTTTACACACATCTATATTATTTTTAGAGAAGCATTCGTTTGTGTAGTTCAAAGAATTGATATATTCTCATTAAAGTCTTCGAGGATATAAACAAACGTATCGTCTTCTTTTTTGAGAAATCTCACAACTTAACTTTTATTATGTCATCGTGGTCTGTTTTAAATAAAATACTTTTGAACTGAAATGTATGTTACTTGTTTTTAAAATTTCTATGACAAGACAACCCACAGGCAATGGAACATAGAAATAATCCCCCCCCACTCTCTGTACATAAGTAAATGAATTTTATTTACTAATGTACAGAGAGTGGGGGGGATTATTTCTATGTTCCATTGCCTGTGAGATAACCTGTTGCCTGCGGGTCAGCTGTCATATCATTTTTGTTCCAATCTATGATATTGTACGCCTAAGGCTTAGTCTATTATCCAATTTTACATAGATCCACTACCCTTTACTCCTTTTCTGTTACTGAAAATCTCCAGTGTTGAAATAACCCCATGGTCGAAGTAGTCCTAGGACAAAGTAACCCCACACATAGGAATTTGACGGTAAACCCTAATTGCTTGCCCTATCGAATCAGTCGGTCCAATAAATCAATCATGTAATTTCATATCCTAACTTTTGTAATTGCAGATTTCTAAAAACAGAGTTACACCATGGCAAATCAAATAAGTGAAGCATCCTCCGAGGAGTATGACTTCACAGACATGATGGAGGTCGTTACTTCATACAAATGTTTATTTTGTGCATTCACAAGCACCATACCTACGGAAGTTAATAAACATGTCAAGCGTGTTCATTCTCAAAACATCCGACATACCAGAGCTGTAGCAAATGTCGTACCAGAGCAACCACCACAAATTGTCGAAGATTCAGAAACTATTATTGAAGTTACGGAAGCGCATGAGCCTGAAGAAACTGTTATGTCTCAAGAAATTAGTGAAAACACTAATAGCGGAATGGCAATCCATTCAGATGGCAGTGACACTCAGCATCAAACATTAATAGTTGAGGCTAATGAAGACAACCCAATGCAGATTGTCGAGGATGTAACACGGAATGAGCACATTGATGTTGTGACAACTGATGGTGCAACTGCCAGTATACCCTTATTAACGCTGAGTAATGGAAAATCCATAGCTGTCATGTCAGACTCAAGTACACAAGTGACAAGTGGATCTGATCAGACAGATTCCATTTCAAGAGAATTACCCGAAGGTTCTGTCAGGCTTATTGATGAATCAGAGCAAAATAAAATGGAGAATACACCACTTGTACAGAACTTTGGCAGCCAAGTAGAATCAGATCAATCATCAGAGACCTCTAAGAATAAAGATGAACTTTTCCTATGTGGGCAATGTAGCTTGGGGTTCCCGAATATTGATGACTGTAAAGCTCACATGATTACTGATCATGGGTTTAATATATCAGCCTCCATGGAGAGCAGTAGTGGAAAAGTTGACACAGGTACTCAAATGGAACCAAAGAAAAAACCAGGTCGAAAACGTAAAGATGAAGAAGCAGAATTGACTATAATTAAAGATGAGCCTGAACAAGAGCAGGAAATATACAAAACTGCATCAGGACGTCGAACAAAACGGCCTCGAAAAAATGAATATCATTTTTACGATTATAGTAAAAGAAGAAAGCACTATGAAGAGGCTACTGAGTTGAAGTCCAAGTATATGCTGCAATGTCCCTGGAAATGTGGCGCTAAGTTTTGCTCTAACGAAGGTCTTCAGATTCATGTCGAGTGTCACATGGAAAAAAATGTCGGAGGTAATCTTTTTGATTCAATTAGATTTGAGAATAACATTTTTGAAATACAGTTCATATGAAGTATTTGTATTTAATATTTTTTATTTCCAAAATTCAATTGTCAAATCAAAAATATCCCTATCTTATAATTTCAGATGGCTTCATGTGCTCTGTATGCAAACAGGAATTTCCAAGATGGCCACCATGCAGGATTCATTTGTACAAACAGCACAATATAGATGCGGACATGCAGACTTGTGATGTCTGTCAGTTCAAGACTGATTGTATTGGCAAATTGTTGACCCATAAGGAAATTCACAGTGAGACTCGACCATACAAGTGTTCAGTTTGCGATAAAGGTAATCAACATTTCTTAGATTTTTCATTAATTGAGTTTCAATAGTGGTGAGTCTCATGAATAACAAATTGACTATAAAACACACAGATCTCTGAAAACAGAAATACTGTACTAATTTCAGACAATGTTATTTACCACCTATGTGTACCTGTTACCATGAGGTTACATATTCCTGTAAGTCCATTTGTTTGAAAATGAAAAAAACACAAAATTATTTTCATTGAGGTGATAAATAACATAGTAAAAAAGATGACCTTTTGTACATTGTGAAAATGAGAATTAAGCACCAATCTAAGAAATCACAGACTGGAAAGAAGACTGCTTGGTGTATAATAACATCAATTATACAAGAAAAGACAAGCCAATCAACTTATCCATTCACATTAAGGTTTCAAGCAGCTGGCACAAATGAAGAACCATGAGGTGTTTCACAGACAGAAGCCAGATTATATTGAAGATGAAAAGAAAGACAAGAAGTGGTACGATAACAGGAAGTGTAACATATGTAAGTGGCTCAGTTGCTCACTCTTAACCTAAAACCAGGTCACTTTTTCCATGGCATTTTATTAATTCATTTACTTATTCATTTACTTGCATCATCAATAAACTTCGGAAAACAAATTTTCATGTGAATTTTGTGATCGGAAAAAATTCTTGATCTTAATCTTGCGTAGAAATGTGAATGGGTATGTACTTTTCGTAGGTTGATTTCTAGATGTGGAATTGAACAATAAATTAAATATTGGGTTATTTTCTTATATAAACATTGCCTAGAAATTATGAAAGGTGATTATAAAGGTGAACAAATTAACATTATGTTGAGTTATTTTTTCAGGTAATACAATATTTGCCAACTATAAAACACTAAAGATTCACATTGAAATCGTCCATGAGAAGTTAAAGCCCTACCAGTGTCCATATTGTGAGCACCAGTCCTCCCGTAAAGCCATGTTGGATCTCCATGTAAGGGGACATACTGGAGAGAAACCATACAAGTAAGTAATTGTCCTCCCCTGAACTATTGTGAGCACCAGTCCTCCCGTAAAGCCATGTTGGATCTCCATGTAAGGGGACATACTGGAGAGAAACCATACAAGTAAGTAATTGTCCTCCCCTGAACTATTGTGAGCACCAGTCCTCCCGTAAAGCCATGTTGGATCTCCATGTAAGGGGACATACTGGAGAGAAACCATACAAGTAAATAATTGTCCTCCCCTGAACTATTGTGAGCACCAGTCCTCCCGTAAAGCCATGTTGGATCTCCATGTAAGGGGACATACTGGAGAGAAACCATACAAGTAAATAATTGTCCTCCCCTGAACTATTGTGAGCACCAGTCCTCCCGTAAAGCCATGTTGGATCTCCATGTAAGGGGACATACTGGAGAGAAACCATACAAGTAAATAATTGTCCTCCCATAAACTATCTGGATTTTAAATTTTGAGGGTTAACAAGTGGTTGATGAAAGAATTAATCAAGAGGATTAAAAATCATACACCTTATTATGATACAATTTTTTTTTTTTATTAAAATATCACTTGTAAATTAATATTGTATGAAAACTAGAATTGAATAATAAATTGAATTGAATTGAATTGAATTACTCTATTTGGTGCAATAAAATATGAATCCTAAAAATCGCTGTGTTATGACCCCTCTACTTTTCTTGCCTTTTGTTTGATTGAAATTGGTTTGTGTATTTGTTTATTTTTGTATTTTCAGATGTGAGTTTTGTGAATATGCTACAGGGGATCACAACTGTTTGAGGCGTCACAAGATGCGTCACACGGGTAAAAATGTTTTTGAATGTTTACAAAACAGTACAAGACAAAAATGCTATTTATATTTTTACATAGAAATACTTCATGTAATTGTTATTAAGTTAATCAGTACTTATTTTGCTGTATTAATAATTTGTTGAAGGTATGAATTCAACTCTTTTGCAGCAACATAGCTATACTCAGGAAAATAACATGAATGACAAGTTCACCAACATTTGTTGTAATATCTCATAGTCATATGCAAAATATTCTAGCTTAAGGATGCAGTACCACGTCAGCGTAGAAAAAGTTCCAGACATTAGATTTTGCTCATATTTTTTACAATGTTTCACTATGATGTTATCATCATCCAAGTGCAATATGAAGAGGATTGACCGTCTGGTAATTACAAAATAAAAAAATTATTTTACCCACCCAAAATGAATCTTTTTACTTTTTTGAGTTTTCAATAGAGCTGGCACCTTTCGAACTCTGGTTTTCGTATCCACTAATTGCGACAAGAACAAGTTTTCCCATAAAAGTGAAAGGGATAAAATATGCTTGATAAAATGTTTGCAATTTAATTCTTTTCTGGAAACACCATTATCGAAATAAACTATAATTTTTGAATAAGACTAAATGTGAAAATAACGTTCTTGGGAGCTAGCTTTCTCAAACCGGAAGTCAAACCTGCGCAAACAGACGTGAAAACCGACCCGGTACTGCATCCTTAACACTATATTTCTTGTGGAAATTTCTGCATAAGATTTTTGATTGTTTTACAGAATATTCTAAGTTGTCACTCTCACCTGTTTTGTTTTCTATTGCATAGGAGAGAAACCATACAAATGTGCCTACTGTCCCTACACTTGTATTCAAGCCATCTCTTTGAAGACCCACATGCAGAACAAGCATAACAACGAGGGTCCTGGCGTGTTTGCCTGCGACCTCTGTAGCTATCGTACTGTTAACGCAAACTCTTGGGAACGTCATAAAAATGACCACAAATGTGGCTTAATTGAGACTGTAAGTGTCCATGGCAACCAGAATCAGCAGGAACAACAGAGCCAGCAGCCAAGGCCTGCTATAAGTCTCGAGACTGCTGAGGATGTCGAGAAGGCTCAACAAGAGGGTCAGCTGATTCAGGTTGAGGTCACCGCAGCTACAGATGATAACCAACAAGTCCAGCTTATTCAGCCAATAGACCAGGTGAACCTTTTTATGAACATTTTTTGGATGGGCCAAAATAGCATAGCATACTTTGTTTTGCAAATATATTTTGATGAGGTATTTTTACTTTAACAAGGGTAGGCTTTATCCCAATCCTCCTTGAATGAATTTATTTTTGACTTGAGATAATTATTAAATATGTTCAATACAGGTCACGACTGAGGTACCATACTAAGCTCCTCTAGTTTATATTTGTAATATAACATGTCCATTGATGCCTTTGTTCGTATTGAGATTTTCACTTGGAAAACCTAAATATAATTTTTGATATGGATATTCATTTGAATAAAAATAATCCAAATTGTATGGTGAACTTATATTACTAAATGTCATATAAATAGTTTGTATCAATGTTTTCCATTTACCAGGTGGACGCAGCTGCCATTGCAGGTCTACAACAAGCGGAAGCTGCACCTTATGCTCAGGTACACTTTATCCCTTCTATATTTGCAGTAAAACACAATGTATTTCACAATTGTACTTCCCTAGGCTGAATCCTAATTTGACCTGCTTTGGTCAAAATATCTCAATATCACTTGGTGCAGAATTTCAACAGTGGGGCATGTAATTTTAAATTTTTATGTCACCATCATAAGTGGTAATATGTTATCTCCAACTTTTTATTTGATGTTGTTCAGCATTCAGCTGTTGTTGTTTGGTGGTTGACATCTGTGACAAATGGCAGGTGGTGACATTTTCCATGTTAATGCTTTGTTCGTAAGTGTTCAGCTGAGTATCTGTATTCTGTATCACATGGCATGAAAATACAGAATGCATTAACATCAGGTGGCACAGTCAGATAATGAGAAGTTTCACTGTCATATTGAATGAGGTGTTGTGTTTATTCTCCACCCTCCTAGTTCAAGTTACTATTTTCCAAGCCTGCATTTTAGAAGTATTTGTTTGTTATGTCACCTCCAGAAGTGTTGACATATTGTTATAGTCTTTTTGTTGACAGTGTTCGGCATTTGAAGTTCAGCTTCTGCAACAATCTGCAGCGTCTGTAACAATTTACAATAACTTACAAGGTGTTGATATTTTGTCATGTTAATGCCTTGTATTTCAATAAGGAAGTGGGTAGAGGCAACACCTATGCCTAGTACAAAACTTTGATGAAGATATTAAAGTACAAGAATTGTTTTTTAATTTTATTATATTAATTTATTATAATTATCTTTTCAGGTTGATATCAATGCTGCTCAATTGATCTATTCGGCATTGAACCATCTCTCTCAAAGTACAGACGTTAAAGCTAAAACTGAGAATGAAAATGAGCCAACGATGGTTACTATACAGTTCGCAGAAGGTCACACTATGGAGGCCCCTTCTAGGATCTTAAGTTCATTGGATATGAGTGGAGAGAGAGTGTATTTAGTTGCTGATGATTCCCATAATAATGAGGTGAATCTCAGTGCACAGCCTTCAACTGTCAATGCACAAGATGTAGGGATTGATGTACAGACATCGACAATCAATGCACAAGATGTAGGAATCAATGTACATACATCAACAATTAATGCACAAGATGTAGGAATTAATGCACAAGATGTAGACATTGATGTACAAACATCAACTATCAATGCACAGGATGTGGGGATCAATGTACAAGATGTTGCGGTTAATATTCAGAACTCTAATATTAATTTTGAGACAGAGAATAAAAGTGAACATTTGAGAACTCTTGTAACTCAAGCTGGGAGCATCACTGCTAAACATGAACAAGTTGTAGAAATATTAGACAAAGTTCAATGAATGGAATTATGTCACCACCAAGAAGT